AACTAATGTGGCTATGCTTAGTGAAGAAGAACAGCACTGCAGAAAGTAGCACTGTTTCTACTTTCTAATGGTAGCATCTTCTGTATTGGCTAGGGAATTTCGTGACAAGTATTTCATCTGAAGGTGATTAAATGTAAGGTGGAGAAAAGATTTTAAGGTGCTCTTTTTCAACAAAATTGGTCCATAATCTTTTGTGTTAAATATTTATTCATAATTGCCTCAGTCCTTTCCCAATTGATTGAAAGACTCATTGCTTTTACCTGCTTCTACAACAATCATGGTTCTAGAGTCTTCCATTACAAAACTCTAACTGAGGAATTTTACAGTAGTCTTTTTTTTGCTCTTAGTCTCTTTCCCCAGGTAAACTTTCTTACACAGGAAAGAATATTAATAAGAAATTTGTCACTCAGATCATTGACAAGAGGGAGACAATAAGAAAGAGAACCAGGAAGAAAATATGAGGTTTTTCTTTGACTTTGGGGGAAGTTTTAGCAAAACTCTTTGTTAGGAAAATTGAATACATTCACATTTGGTCTGATTGCTTGTTATTGGAATTATTTATGCCAATTTATTGTATAGTCTCACTTTATTTCTTTTCACTATTTTTAACTTTCCTGACATCTTTTGGTCTAATCTTTGTTGTTGCTATATTTTTTCTCTTTATATTTTCTGGATTTAGTTATTATTTTAGTACAAAAATGTATAGTTCTACTTTTCTATCATATCTAGAACCAGTTAGCCTCTCTATTGCTCTGTTTAATGGAACAAGGATATTACAACATTTTGCTGACATCTTTACCCTCCACATTCCATATCTCATGGCAAAATGATCCGGGATGTTCATTTTAAATGTATGTTAATTTGGCCACCTAACATTTTTCCATTCAAAAGATGTACTATTTTGCTTTATTCTGTACTTTTGCTACTTCATTCCTTTGTTACCTCATGCCTTCTTTTAAGAGCAGCTTCCAATCATTCTTTTAGAGAGTTGCGTGTGGATTAGTGCTTTTCAGCCTGTATTCTTTTCTTATTGTTTTGCAACAAATTACTACTAACTTAGTAGCTTAAAACATCAGGAATCCGTTCTCTTAGTTACAGAAGCCAGAAGTCTAGACAGGCCTACAGGTATGCAGTCTTTCCACAGGCACAAGAAGACTCCACTTCCTTGTCCTCTCTAATTGCAAAGGCCGTCTTCATCCTTTGCCTCACGGCTCCCTTCGTCTTCTTCAAAGCCAGCTTTGTAACATCTTCAAGTCTCATTCCCTCTGTCTTTGTTTTTACCATTATGTAACCCTCTCTGTCTCTAATGACCTTGCCGTCCCCTTCGAAAGCATTGTGGTTACAGATAGGGTATCCCTGGATAATCCACAGTAATCTCTCCGTATTCAAACCCTTAAATTAAATACATCTGCCTTTTTTGTCAAATAAGGTACTGTATATAGGCTCTTGAGATTAGAACATGAGTATCAAAAAAAAAAAGAGCATGAGTATCGTTGGAGGGGTATAATTTATTCTATCACTGTGCCCTCAGCCAAATGGACACCTCTTTCTCATAACCAGTTTTAATAAGGATCTGGCTAGATGATATAACTTAAATTATCTTTTCTTGCAGAATTACATAGGTATTTTACCTTAATATCTTCTCTTAAGCTTTTAGTAGGAGAGGTAGAGTCATTCTAGTGAGGCATTACCTTTTGTGCTGTTGCTGTTGCTGTTGCTATGCTTTTCTTCAGTGTGCGGTAGTCCTCAGATTCTGCTTGTGGTGGGCTGTGGCTGCCTGGGGCTGCAGATAGAAACTGAAGCACTCTAAGTCTTCTCCCAGTGCTGGTGCACTACCTTCAGCTAGTCCTTGCCCAGCTCCCAACCAAAGGGCATCTCATGCCCTTGCCTCTCCCTCTGAGACATATGCTAGCTCTGGTCATTGTCACCCGCCAGGCTCAAGGTGAAGGGAAGGTGGGGTGTCAGACAAGGTTCGTTGTTCTAGGCCAGTCTCAGCTTAGGAAGTCTCTGTCCACCTGGTTTCCCAATGCTACCCTTCTCAGAGTTCTGTTATAGCCCAGCTCTGCTTTTTATCTGAGGTCAGTCTTATGATGTAGGAGGCTTCTGCCTCTTCTCCAGCGATTGACAAGCCTCGCTTAGTACAAGAATGCAATGTTAAGCCCAAGATGAATTCCTGCCTCATCTCTTTTGTAAATTATTTTTCTTCTGCTTTTCCAGTAGTTAAAGTAGTTATCTGTTTTTCTATATGCCCTAGGGAAAAAGACATTGTTACCTTTCTACCTGGGTTTAAGACTCTTGTTCCTTTTTAAAATTATAATTGTTAGCATGCAGTAGTGAGTAATGTGATAAGTTTCTTTGTTATGTTTTCCTACATGGATACGCTCTTATATACTTACCATTATGTGTGTCATTTTTTAATTAAAAATCTGATAAGGAATATGGATTCTGAAATATGGATTTTGGATACTCTAACAGAAATAACTATTAGGTAGTATTTATACTCCAGGGCTGAGGGAGAATGGAAAAATATTTTCTGATTTCCCTCCTACTCTATCTTCCCCTTCTTCAACTCTGAACTTCTATTTTGTAGATTCATTCAAGTTAAATGAGACAACAGGAAACAGCAATTTCAATACATTTAGATGTTCTATCCATGAGGCTGGGATGGAGAATTCTGTTTATGCTTCCAATGTCCCTTGAGCTTAATTGTAAATAAATAATGGCGATATTTATATATTTCAAAGAGATCTAAGGAATACATAACTATATTACTATCAAATTATTTTAAGAATGAACTTTGGGTGAATGGACTTCCAAGTTGAGTTAGAGTTAGTTCAGAAAAGGACAGGCTTGGGCTTTGATGTGAAGTTTGAAGCTAGGAGATGTAAAGATTTAGTTCAAATTGGGATTGTTTGACCAAAGCCTTGAAGCATACAAGATGAAATCAGAAAGACTATTCACCAGGACAGGATCTTCTCCACTTGGGGCACAGAAGGAGATGAGAAATAGTCAAAAGGGTCACTCAAATATTGCTTTTTAAACCAGGCATGGTGGCACACACTGTAGTCCTACCACCCTGCTAGATCGAGGTAGTAGGATTACAAATTCAAGCCCAGCCTGGGCACTTAGTGACTTAGGGAGATCCTGTCTCAAAACATGAAAAAAAAAGGCTGGGGACTTACCTCAGTGGTTTCACCTCTTGCTGCACAAGCACAAGGACCTGAGTCCGATTCCCGGTACCCAAAAAAAAAAGAAAGAAAGGATGAGGAGGGTACTTAGTCAAATCTCTAGTACCACAAAAAAGCTGAAAATTGTGCAAGTATTCAACATTTATAAAGTTCTGAGTTTCTATCTTCTCATGGTTTTATAGAACTATAAATATTGTGTCAGATCTATTTATACAGTATAATTAGCTTGGCTTGTTATATATTTTCTGAATATAATTCCAATTTATTTTTTTGTCTTTGAGACTAACATTTTTGACTAGCAAAATTATAATTTTCTCCATTAATATTTATAAGTATCTTCTGTTTTGGTCTGTGACTTTAATGCTGTATTTAGAAACCTTTCCCACGCCTCCACAATTATATAAATATGTAACTTTGTTATTTCCAAATTCATTTATACATTTTTATACATTTAAATAATTAAACAGTTTCATATTAATTTGGGGGTATGATGGTAGGGAAGGTTAACAAATTGCATAACTTAATTAATTGAATAAATGATCTTCACCCGCTCTTAATTAATTTGAAGTCATTATATAACAAATTCGTATATACCCTGATGTGCCGTCATCTGCCTTCCTGCTCCTCTGCCTGCTTCATAAACCTTTTTCCCCCTTCTGGGTAAGTTCCCTTACAACAACTTCCCTTAATTGTTATTTTTCACCAAAATTTATTGATGTTTCTCACATGCATATTATTAAAAATAATCTTTAAAATATTTTGATATGTATTTTTAAAAAATTCTACCCAGGTGTGAAATACTTAGTTAGAGCCAGATATTTTTAGTGGTGATTTGAAGTAACAAAAGTATTTTTACAAACCAAATGGAAATACTTTTCTTTGCCAATCTAGAACCTTTAGAAGGCTTACTATTTTTATTTTTTTATTTTTTTTATTATTTTTTTTTTTGGTACCAGGGATCGAACTCGGGTCCTTGTGCTTGCACAGCGGGCGGCAAAACCTCTAGGCTAAATCCCCTGCAAGGGCTTAGTACTTATTAATTTTTTTTTATTTTATTTATATGATTTAGCTCAAGTCAGAAGTAGGTACAAGTTTGCACTCAAGTATCCCTAAATGTTCCTTACCAATTTCAATTATTTACTATTTTATGGTAACATAAGTGTCAGTCACCAACTAGTTTGTCAGTGATAGATGATTTGATGTAGCTGCTTTTGTAAAGCAATTTTATCACCAGTGTTCTTATTTACAGGAAACTATATGCCATCCATAACTTCTGACATGTTTCTAAGAGCAGCCTTTCTGGTGGAATAAGGGAGCCATTGTACCAATTTGAGAGGTACAAATATAGTCTCTGTAGAGAAACATCTCTTTGTCTGATGTTTTATCTTTTTATTTGTGCTGGATTTCTTACCTGTTGTCTAACCTACTGCGTTCTAGTTTCTTAGTATGAATGAAGGTAGCACTACACCTTTCTCCCTGAGAAAGTAGAAAAGAATAAGAAGATAATGAAAGGAAATAGGAGATATGAAACTCTAAATTTACTTACTTACAATGTTTCCTGGTGATAAACTAATTTAAGTTTTGTTAAATCCCATTTACCTTTATCAACTTTGCAAGAAATACATTTTCAATAGAGAGTGCAGTTTTTGAATTTTACTACTCTACAATGAGATGTTTTCCTTTCAACTTTTAATGGGAATTAAAACTTTTAAGCTTCCTGGAGCAAGTGACATGGATGAATGAAAATAAGCTAAAATCTAGGGTTTCTTGTGTGTTTGAATACTGAATAATTTTTCTTCCTTTCCTTTGCAGTTTCTCCTTTGTGGCATATGTGGAATACTGTGCGCCAAAAAAAAATCAGGACTTGTTGTAAGTTTTTGCCTTGTTTGTATTGTACATTGAAATGTTTGAAATATAAGAATTCCAGAATGAAAATGATGACTAGCCAACTTCCATGTACTAAATGTTACTAATTTAAAATAAAAGGAGACATAAAAATAAATCCTGGTTTTTCTTCTTATAAATTAAAAAAAAACCACTGGAATATTTGAGACTGTGACAAAATATCAACACACAAAAAAAGCTTTGATATACTGCTTAAATATTTAAATATGCACACTTTAATGTTTGCTGTGTATGACAGTCTCCAGTTTTCTACTTCAAGACTTCCAGGTAATTACCTGAATTTTTCAATGAACTAAAAATGACAAGGTTTTAGTCTACAGAAAACTTAACTGGTTAAATATGGAATAGGCCTAGGGATTATTGGCTTTCTTTGATTGTGAAGCTAATTTTGCAAAACAGCAAGAGAGCTGTGTCACTGTGGTTATAGTTGATTCTTAAAGATTTATTTTATTTTATTTTATTACTGTGAGAATGCATATGAGTACTTTCAGATGTTTTATGACACTATTATGGGGTCCTGGGGTAGTGAACATGCTACCAGTTAACTCTGATACTGGCTGGAGAACCCTGCGTGCTCAAGTGCTGATTCCCTTCTGCCTTCCCTGACACTTTATGAGAGTTTGGAAAGGAGAAAGAAAGCATGATTTATTTTATTGAGTACTAATGGAAACATCATAAATCTTTACCAATTGGCAAAATCAATATTATATGAGGACCCTAGGAAGTGGCCTTTGAATCTACAGAGTTTTCCAAGGAGAAGCCAGGTAATGGAGCATGGCAGGGAATGGGGAGGAATTGCAGCTATTTTCATTTTATCCCTTTTGCTAATAATGCCTTTCTCTGTCACAATACTCTCTATTGTGACAAAAAGATAAACCATTCACTGCTGTAGACAAGTAAGATACAATTCTAAAAAATATAAAGGAATCTTTGTGGGCCAAATGTGTTTTTGATACTTATAATTGGCATTTGTGATTCTCTCATCACTCTTTAGACATAGGCTTCCCATTTCTACATCTTTCCTTTACCAAGGGTCTTTATGATTGTATAGGAAGAAGGAAGGAAGGAAGGAAGGAAGGAAGGAAGGAAGGAAGGAAGGAAGGAAGGAATTTTTAAAAAGAATGTGTCTCTTTTATGTCTTTATAAATTTGTTATAGATTATAAAACAAAAGATTTATAACAGATGAACCGTTAGTGTATCTGCCACTAGAAGGTACCTTATGCTTCTGTACTCTGAAATTCCCATAGATGATATTAGCCTCAAGAATTCTCTACCCTCTAATCAAATTTTGTAAAAATGTCTCTATTCCAAATATCTGTGCAGTCTAGAATCTCTTGCTCTACGTGATAAGAGAATAGTATATAGTTATGAACTTTTATGCACATTTTAGTTCCCAGGTGCAGTATTCTGTCACTATATCTTAATGAAGTATATCATGTTTAAGAAATTAATGAGGATAACATTGGGAAAGATACGGGTTTTCCTGTTATAGGAAATTAAGCATCATCTACTTTTGGGGGGCTTAAACAACAGGAATTTATTTCTCACAGTTCTTTTTTTTAATTAATTCTTTTGGTATACCTTTGATACAATGATCACATTCATTATAGGGAATCTGCACCTGCAGACAATACATCCAAATTAGTAGTAACTCATTATTTGAAGACAAGTGTGTAATATCTTTTTATTTTCTGAGAATGAATAAACACAAAAATATGTTCTAAAGAAAGTACATGTCATCTGAATACTCTTTAAAATCAAATTTGTCTGATTAGTACTGCTTGAAATTGTGTGCTCCTAGTTGTTATTTGGTGGGATGATTTCATTATTTGGTAACTGATTCTTGGTATTGTATTTAGTCAAGTATAAAAAAGTCATAATCATTCATCAATGAGTTTTCAGCCATGATGATATGTACCATGAGATAGATACAATAAGGAAAGCCCAATAAATGAAACAAACTGTAGCATTGTAATTCTTTCTGCCCATCAAGCTTTTTATTGTGCTATTTCATATGCGTGTTCCTGGATCCTCTTTGGGAATGGTAAATACTTAGCTGAGATGGCACATTCTCAAGAACACCTTGAACAACCCTGATAAGGCTACCTTCTCCCCTTCCAGTTTTAGGACAACCATTCATCTGTCTTCACATTTAGCATGCCATGTTGACAGGTTGAATCTTGTCTTTCACAAGATCTCAAGCCACTCCAAAGGAATAACTACAAGCAATTCTTCATAATGCCAGCAGCTACTTCATGCAGGGCCTAGTATGTACTAGTGGTTCAGTAAGTGCCTGCTAAACTAAACTAACCATTGACAGCAAAAATACCTGATAATGTAAAAGTAAATGCTAATATAAATTATACAGCTTTTGCCATGGAGAATTATAAAAAGGAGGCGATCAATAAAGCTCAGGAAGGCTTTTTGAAAAAGTTAGAACTTGATTTGTGCCTTCCATCTAGAAGGCCAAGGAAAAAATCAAAATTATTTCCAAGAAACTATTCTTGCAATGGAAATGAACAAGCTATATGAGTGGACAAATGTTGGTCTGGGGATGTAGCTCAGCCCTGGGATCAATTGCAGCACTGTAGGTACTGTGTTCTAAAGAATGGAAATAAGGTTGGGTAATTAAATTAGCAGCATCCTATATAGCACCATGAAAACCCATCAGATAATGTAGACCAATGCCTCAAAAGTGAAAAGTTAAAAAATTCTTGAAATATTCCTTTAGGTTTCTTAAATATTCACAGAAGATACATGGAAATATACAGAGAAGGCATTGCACTTGGTTCTGCTCAAAATCTTATTTAGGTAGACTAGTATTTCCTACCTTCATGAATAGGAACCCAGATCAAATGTTAGTAAAATCAAAAACAAAGCTACGTTCTGTGCTTATCCAGAATAAACAAACAGTGTTTTTCAGAACTTCTATTGTGTAAATTTTATTGTGATGCCATGGGGTAACAAAAGATTAGTAAGGCTCTGGGCAGTTCAAAGGAAGTCCCTAACCTACTCATTGTGGAAATAGATATACACACATCAAAATACATAATAAATGAAAACAAAAAAATTTAACCACATTCTCTAAATACAAATAGGTAAAAAGACACAAATATTTGTAGTTAGGTGAAACTAACAACAATTCAATGAAAGTAAGATATTTAGATTCTTGGAGAGGACTGGCATAGTGAAACTGGATTTTAGACGGAAAATCTGAGTTCAGTCCCTCAGTTTACATCTTATCATTCATTGATGACCACTCATTTTCCCAAATTGTGTATTGGTATCTTTCTCAAAGGGATGCTAGGAGAGCTCATTGGGATGAAATCTGTTACAGTTCCTAGCATGGTAGGACACAGTACATGTTAAATATATATTGTTTAAATCAGAATCTGGCTAAGAGAACATTTTTTTCAGAATTTTCATGAAATGTATGCTTGGATTCAATTTCTAAGACACTATGGTCTCCTCCCTAGGCAGAGAATCAGACTGAGTAGAGTCTCAGCTGGAAGCCTAGCTCCTCCTCCGGGAAACACCAAGAACACCTTCTCCCTATTGTAGGTTAGCCATCCTGGATGTAGTGTGTTCTGGGAACCTTGACCTCCTCAAATTTAACACCCCCTCTTCTTTCTCCTTATCAGATGATCCTCTTTTCAGCCTGTTGTATCTGTGGACTCATTGGGGGCATCCTAAATTTTCAGTTCCTTCGAGCAGTCACAAAGAAGACTTCTTTCTTGTATCCTCTGCATCTGGCCTCCATGTCCCTGGCATGCATTGGGATTGGGGGCTGCACCCTGTCCTCCTGGCTCACGTGTCGACTGGCCAGCTATGAACAGAGAAGGATGTTCTCCGAAAGGGAGCATTCCCTGCATCACTCTCACGAAATGGCTGAGAAAGTGAGTTTTGTGCCTTTGCCTCCCACTGCCGTCATGTGACGAAGATGGCATTCTCCTCTAGGTGAATCAATTTGCAGTCTTAGATGACAATTTAGAAGGTTTTGGTTTTATACATTGCAACCTATTAGATTAAGAGTAAGGATTTTAACAATTACTTTCTTCTCTGCAATTTTGGGTACACCTATTCTCAACATAGCTTCTCTGTCTTTTCAAAACACAGTTCCTAAAATAGCATTTAATAAAATATTGAATACCTAATAAATATGCATTTTATATACTATACTGAGGAAGAATACATAAATTAAATACAGCCTTTATTCAATAATGCCAGTTTTAGAAATTGCATGAATTCCCTTTTCTAGCTCAGCCCTTGTGCTTGTAAGTTGATGCATCTGATTATGTAAATTAGATATTCAAGTATAAAGAAGCTCTTTAGTAAGGTGACAAAAAGCCTTGTCCATCAGAGCAGACACTACAAGACATATAAAGCTTCATTTAATTCTCATCTAAACTTCATGCATATTTGGATAGGTTTGACTGTATTTTAAACAATGGTCCTTGCATAATTGTTTCTTGAAACCTATTCAAATAGAGAGTTACATTAATTGATTAAAAGGACAAATAGTATAGAGAGATGTCTATGCTTCTACTACATCTTGCACATGTTTCTTAATTCATTTCCTGTATCTATTAAGGGAAAGACTGCTGTACTTATTACTGTATCTATTAAGGGAAAGATAAGCATCTGTGAAATAAACTCACTAAGATAATGGCCAAATTACACTTTTCTTTATATCATGGAAATAAAACTGTACAACCATAGAGTAAAGTAAATAGTGGAAAGAGTGACTGCATATTTCTTTGTAATTTTTTTTAGTTAAAAATATTTATTTGGTAGTTTATGTGTTTTTAGTCAGTGTGTAATCTATACATAAGCAAATGCTCTTAAATTGTCCCAAGTAAGCAGTTTTAAAGAGTTCTATGCATGTACTTTAGAAAAGAATTAGTAGGAAACAGCAGGACTGACAATTTAAATAATTAGATCATTGAAAATAGGTGGTCATTCTGTATTTAGATAGTGGCTCTTTTGTGCTCTATTTTAAACAAGTGTGACTTAGTTTTCTGTATATATGTTTGTGCAATATTTATTGTATAATTGTTATATTTACATTAGAGATTGAGGGCTATTGAAATAACCGACTTGCCAAGCTGCCCGGTGGTGCCCCCGACACCAGAGTTACCTACAAGGTACGCTGATTTCTAGGCAGTTACCATGTTGTGATGTCACTGCAGGAAGCACTGCCTCCTTCAGGAAGCCATGATGTCAGCAGATCAGTCTGGGCTGATGCTGCAGTGTTGTTCCTCTAAGCATCACTCTCTTAAGGGCTGCTTTGAGGAATTGACATAAACCTCCATGGCAGCATCTTGCAGCTTCACAGTTGGTTGAGTATTTAAATTAAAATATTCAGCCTGCTTATAAAGCATCCAAACACATTTCTGTTTGGATGATTCACAATTCCTTTTATTCTTTGCTGCATCATGATTCTGATTCAATATCATTCACAGACCAGAGTTTTGCTCTTGATAATAAATGAGTCTGGACAAAGGTAAACTGTGTACCTCCATCACACCAACATTGCATGAACAGATAGTCAAATTTTGACACTAATACAGTAAAACTTCTATATGGAAGATTTCTTCTGTTGAAATTATCCATTATGACACATTTCCCATATATTTCCAGTTGCTAAAAATAAATAGTCAAAGTTCTTGGTCTAGTTAAGCAGTGCAATTAGAAATACAAAATATCTTATAGATGCTACAATCTATATGCAGAAAGTATGTTCACTTGCAAATATCTATATTTTGTCCTGCCCAAACTTAGAATACAATCTGCTGGTTAAACTGGATGTGTCTATTTGCAAATAAACTGAAAAACTCATCCATTTTAAAATTAATTTCCTATCAGTAATTTTACTGTATCCCCTCTGGTATGAATTTAGTTAAGAAAATTCTTTTATTTTGAAAATTTTTTAAAACTTTCTTTAAATTATGCAACAAAAGATTGGTAGTTTAGTTTTATGATTTTAAAGCAGCTTTTTAAAATGCAAAGTCTTTTTAGGAAAGGCACATAAGAATAAGATTGGTATTTCTATAAATCCAGTAAAAATTGTCTTTCTTTTAGTAGGGTGAATAAGAAAAGATATTTGGATAAATTTTGTGGATGATCACTTTGAGGGAATGATTGCTAGTTATCTTGCCATCTATAGTGAATTCTTAAATGAACCCTCAACTCAAGTTAAGTTTCTTAACCATAATAAACAATGCCAATCCAGTTATCCAATGCATTTTCTGAGCTATCTTCACCATACACAGCTCTAGCAGATTTTTCAGACATATCTAGCAGTTTCTTCAAACAGACCCTACATAGAAATTGATAGGAATGAGATAGTTGAGAAAAAAATTAACATTTGATATATTTTTACTGCTCCTTTGCAATAAAGGCTTGTTCAGATTTGGAGAGTTGTTGTCAACCTATTCTCAGACAATATTCCCAACATTATTTATAATATAGTTCACTAACCACAATAAATGGGAATAGTCCTCATATCTCATCACTTTTTATTGTGTAATAAAATATATAAATTCAAACATCTAAAATTTCTTAAATTAGGACATTTTTATAGTTGCAAATGGAACTTTTAATGTTAGTTTATCCTTTACATTTGTATTTTATTTGCCTTCTTATCTACTTATCCTTGTTGATTTCTTAGTAACAGATCCTTTAAAACACACTGAGGTTTCACTGTTTTGATTTTTTAATATGTAAGTGACAGTATCATTAAAACCAATCTTTCCCACTATGATTTGTTAGTGACCCACATGTACAGATGAGCAATAATTGATCCTCTGTGGTCCTTTTCCACTTCATCACCAAAAGGCCACACGTTTCCCAAAGATTGATGGTAAACTGTAAAAATGTGTTGGCACTTGGTCAGCAGAGGAGCTTCTGCATTGCGAAAACTTGGGTACTTCACCGTCTTCTTTTTTTCTAAGCAAAGTCCTTTCAAAATAGATTAGAGGAAAGAAAAGTGAAACTCAGAAGTGGAGAAACAATGAACTGATTTTATGGGTAGAAGACTTTAGTCTAACAGACTGTCACTTCAGCATTTTCATGTACTCCAAAATGCCATGAAATTTCATTTCCTAAAATGCAGCGACAATATCAATCCTTGTCCTTCCCCACAAAATGTTTTTCAATGGCTTGAAATTTCTGCTTTGCAAATCTATTAACCAAAAAATGTCTTACTCCGAAAATGAATTTGAATTAATTCATGTTATTTTCCTACCAGGAAATGACAGACAACATGAGCAATGGAGGACCACAACTGATATTTAATGGAAGACTATAACCGATGTCTTAAAAATTGAACATTTTTAGTAGGTTCGCAAGGCAAGGAGATATCAAAGGACTAGGAGATAAAACTAAAATAGCTCTTGCAATTTGCTTTATTTCTCCTGAGCAGCCATTAAAATTATTCTTCCTCAATTTTGCTTCACTTATTCTCCAGCCTTTTTTATGGGATAGAGAACTTTCCAGAAATGTTCTAGCTTAGTAATTTCAGCAGACTTTCCAGATTCTTCTAAAGAAGACTTTTCGGGAAAATGTAATAAAACAAAAATAGGATTCATATTCTGTACAAACACTATCTGACTGGTGTGAATAATAGATTTGTAACTACACATTTCATATGAGTAACTAGAAAGTACAATTATCAAGGAATAACAATAACATATTGATGTCTTTGTTTTGAAAGACAGATGGCTTCCAGAATGCCACAATTCAAAACCTCAGCAATGCCTTGTTATACATTGTAATTATTTTCAATTTGTGATTAAACTATATTTCATAATTTATTTGTAAATTATAAAAACATAAAACATAAAGGAGAGATTTTTTGAGAGATATTTATCTGTGTGATATTTTTGCATTTTTTGCACAAGAGTGAAAAGTTGTAAGTAAATACCATATAAGAAAAATCTACATTTTGATCATAGTGTGCAGATTGACCTGCATGTTTATGAATGAGCCTGAGAATAAAGTATGTGTGTATCTATAGTGTGAATATAGACAATACATACAGAATATATTTACAGTAACATGAATGAATATACAGAGGTGGTACAAAAGAAATTGTGACGCTCTAGGGGGATTCTAATAGAGATGAGAAGGCAATTGCTCAGGGCTTTTCTGTGCCCACAAAATTACATTTAATTTCTACCAAATTTGTCCATTTTTCTTCTTATTATTATATCTATTATATGTAACTATTATTGTTGCTGATATTTATGGAGCTAAGTGATCTGAATAGTATAGTATAAATATAGATTATTCAGTTATACAGTTGTTTTACTATGATTATGGTATTTATGTAATAACTGTTATTAAGATTGATTTATAAATATAACTTCAACTCACATATTTTCATATTTATAAGCAAAGACATTATGGCTCACAATTATTCATGATATTTATATTTCAAACACTTTGCAGGCCCGTTAAATTATACAGAAAGTCAGATGATGTAACTCCCAGATGAAGTTACAATTAGCTTTGCTACAGGTTTTTTTTCAATTTATTTGAAATAATACTCACAGACCATGTTTGGGAAAGCATATATCCAAAGAATCTGAAAAAGTTCTCTGTAAAGGGAAATAAAAAGATAAGCTGACATTCATATAGGTAGTTTTAATCCTTATTTTCCATAATGGAATGTTAAAATAACAACCAACCATACCAGTAGGCAAGGAAATAGCATGGTCTTTGAAAATATTTATGAAAATATAATATCTGACAACTGAGAAAAATATAATATTTTTAAATATTACTATATGTATATTTTTATTATTGCCCGAAGCTAATTAATTTTCAAGTCATTTTATGAGTTACCTACAAAACTATAGGTAAATTAAAATCTTTAATATTCAGTACAAGAACATGTACAAACAAGATCTAGGTTTAAATTGTGCTAACAACAACATAAAAACCTAAAATTTGAGCTAATGACAATCTGAAGGTTTTTGTTTTACAGCAATATGAACATAATTTAACCTACTTGAATCAACTTTTAAAATTCTGACTATATATTCAACAGAAATAACTGGACTACAGTTGTTTAGTGTAATTTTTGAAGTTTCCCAACTCATTTAGATCACTTCAATATGCAGTAGAGTACAAATTCCCATAATTGCAATTTGAAATAGTGAAGCAGTATCATTGCTCATTTGGTGCCACAAGTGGGCATGATACTTCCCACTGAAAATATAAACTATAAAATGCAGAAATTTCTGTGTATGTGGTTCTACTGAATTTGTGCAAGGATATAGTTTTGTACTGAAAAAATAAACCAACTCTAATTTTCAGTGACATTTCTCTGTAGACATTTGTACAATACAAAATTATAATACCTTAGTAAGATATTTTATGCCTTTTGAACTAATTTATAAAATCACACATTAAAAGACAAAAGTAAGCATATCACTGCTTTGACATAGACGTAAAAAGAGATACAATCATTATAATTATCCAAATAGTCCACAGTGTAATTTTAAACAAGTATAGATATATCTTTAAATGTAATTATTTCAACCCAGGGTTTTCAGGGCTCAATTTGGAGTAATTTGTTTGGGATGTGTAGTGATTCTGGAGATAAGTGGATATAGTTCAGAAGATATTGTTCTACTAATGAAAATTTAATTTTGACAGCACATTGACTGTGAACTAGGATTTTTTAAGTGACCACGTCATAGTTTTAGTATAGACCTATCCTTGGTATTAAATTAGGAAAAAAAATGTGTGGAGCTGATTGTGGAGCTGAAAAGAGATGGAGTTATTATAAGCATAAAAGGGTCAAAGTGGGATCTCATTAGAAATTCTAAAATATATATGTGTATATGTGTGTGTGTGTGTGTGTGTAGATATACACACTCATGATGGTTTTGAAGTGGAATGTGGTACGATGACTCTACTGATATGTCTATGTAATAAAATGGTGTGCTTTGAAACTGCATAAGGTGTCAGCTTTCTTTTTATTACAGTATGAAAATATTGTTCTCCAATAGCTAGATAAATACATGTGCCATTCTGACACTGGCAAGGGAAAGTTCTGTGAATGAAGAATAAGAGACAGTCATGGGTAGAGTATATGAAATACAGAAAGGATATTATTTGAGATAGGAAAGACTAGAATGTGTTCACATCCAGAAGAGGGGTGTTTAGCGAATAGAAGAGAAATGTTCATAGTAGGAAAGAAAAGTCCCTGAGAAGAAATGAAGAAATAAGGTAGAGATCATAAGAGACAGAATTAACTATAGATAGGACTCAGGTCACAAATCTCACAAATAAAAGGACACAAATTAGACAATTCTGATTACTGCTTGAATTTGTCAAATTGGTCACCATAGGCATTTGGGGTGGACAATGATTCATCATGAAGACTGTCCTATTCATTTCAGGCCATTTAGCATTTCTGTTCCCTGTTCACTAAATGGTAGGGCATTCCAGTCATTCTAACTACCATAAATGCCTAACACATTTTCATCTATTTCTTTAGTAGGGAAATATTAACCAATTTAGAACCACTGAGAAAACCCTTGAACATGATCCAGAGCAGCCAATTTTAATGCTACCCACAAGTATAGACAGAAACTGCTCAAGGGCATAAACTTGTTTTTAAGGTGTTATGGTTTAGATCCTAAATGCCCCCCTAAAGACTTCATGTTGAAGGTAGGTCCCTAGCTGTTGGAGCTATTGAAAGGTTGAAAGTTTAGGAGGTTAGACTGGAGAGAGGAAGTTGGGTCACTGGGGCTGTGACATGAAGGGGATACTGGGATGCCAGCCCTTTCCTCTATCTTTTTCTCTCTGCTTTCTAGTTGCTGCTAGGTAAGTGATCCTCCTCCTCCATCATACAGTCCCTACCATGATGTTCTGCCTTACTGCAGACCTGAAGCAATAGAGCCAAGGGACCATGGTCTGAAACCTCTGAAACCATGAGCCAAAATATATCTTTCCTCTTTATATATGTTTATTATGTCAGGTGTTTTGTTACAATAATGAGACAGTGACTATGCCACAAGATCTCCCTACATTATCTACTATGGTAGCCACCTGCCACCTATAATTATTTAAATGTAAATAAAAATTAATTAAAATAAAATAAAACATTGTATTCAGTTTCTCCATCAAATGTGTCATATTCCAAGTGCTGAATAGTCAAATTTGGATGGTAGTTATAAAATATTGCAATCATTTCAGAAAGTCCTATTGGAACAGTGCTAGTCAAGAGCACATAAGCAGGAGCTGTGGACTCTCCCTCGGTCCTTGTACAAATTCTTTCACAGGCATCCAATCATCACTAAAAAGAAGTGTTCAAAGAGTTGGTTAACACTCTATGGGATCTGAAAATGCGTGAAACAATTAAATCCATGGGCTAAGAAAACCTAGTAAAAACTAGCAAAAAGAGTAGAGGCCAAACCATAGTAAAGTTGTAAAGTTACTTCAGAGATTTTAGGTTTAAAAAAGTCTGCTCACAGAACTATTCCACTAATCACTGAATATTCCATTTGAAAGGCAAATGAAATGATGTGTAACTTCAGTTTTTGGAGAAATTTACCTATTACCACTTGTCAATGCATAATCCTGGATTTCTTAGTTTGAGAAGGTAAAACTAATAATCTGCCACCTTCTACTTTATTCTTTGACTTAACTAAAAAATGGCATGTTTTAAAATGTTATGTCACAAACAATATTTTCAAAAATTATCTAGCAAACATGATTCAGAAGCTTAAAAGGAACATTTTAAGTTCTGTTTGGTTAGAGCACTTTTCAAATGAAATTGCAGAACTTGACATCACTTCACTCTTTTCTTTTTTTAAGTCATTTTTTCTTGAAACATATATAATACTTCTTACGCAAAGAGTATGACAGCCAAGAAATTAAATTATTCCAAATCCGTAAATCACAAGTTGTCAGTTACTCATACCAGAGGAAACCAACTGAGATTGAATGCCTAGTAAAACTAAAAGTGTTTTTTTAACGCCCTTTGCCAGCAAACAATGTAATGAATGAATAAGAGTCTTTACTAGGAATTCATTTCCCAAGAAATAGATTGTTAAAAACTCAAGCTATAGATCTAAAAATTATTTCAATATTGTACTTTGTATTGTATTGTATTGTATTTTAGTGAAAGGAAATTCCTTTATTTTAGGCGGAGCCTTTGTGTAGTTGGAATTCTTGAAAAACTAGGAATAATCTTCACTTTCTTCCACATTAACTAATGGTTATTGAATTTAAGGGTTTTTCTTCAGTAATGACCAAAGGCTGGACATCTTTAGCCACAAATACACTGCAAGCCCTCCCCAAAGCCAAGATGTTACTGAAAAATTGCCCAAAATACTAGAGAACATAGTTGAAATGTCAAAGAAAAATGTAAAAACTTATCAAAATTGCACCATATCATTTGTTAACCACAAGGAATCAGGACGTAGCTCCTTGGTATTAACCAACGAAGGTACCGAGCCTTCCCTTTTCAGTAGGACAGAAATCAAGCATGATTTGCATACCATCCAGAGGCAAAGCTAAAAGAAATTTCTTGGTCTGCCAAGGTTCCTCCCCAGGAAAGAAAACCTACAGATTCCTTTCTGAGTGGCTTTATTAATTCAACACTACCCTTCACTCTAGAGTGTAAATCAGGCCAGCAATGTGAAAACACACGACATTATTTATACTGTATAGAAGTACTCTAAGAGACCTACTTAGATACCTGTCTGAATATCCACTGCCTTCATTACTATCCAAAAAGTCCACTGAGATCTGGTCTTTCCTATCTTTTAAGTACATAGGTAATCTTACATAATCTCTGAGAAAATAAAATAATACAAAGTCTCTATGTCTTCTATAACAAAGTAAATTTCTGGAGAGAATGTCTACTTTCTACATCACAGTATAGTGTGTGCTAGTAATTTTAGCCTATTGCTACCTATCAGCAAAAAGAATGGTCATGCAACAGGTGAAAAATAACTATCAAGCACTATCATAACATACATTTATCTATAAATGTGAATACTCCTTTACTATATTGATACCGTTTTGGGTACTAGGGGTTGAACCAAGGGTCTTTTCACTGAGCCCAACCCTTTTCATTTTTTACCCACTGTGTCAATAAGTCACTAATTTGCCCAGGGTTAATTGCGATCCTCCTGTCTAGAAGCAGAGTGCTTGGATTGTAGGTGTCCAGTCACTACATTCCAGCCAATGATACCAATTATTTAACATGAAATGAGAAAAAAAAGTGGATAAACAGCAATTGTTCACCTTGGAGAAGAGATCAGTGCTGGCTGTACCCCTGTATCTCAATGGCATTCAGCCAAATCATGGAACATACTTATACTCTTAGGTCCACTGAAGAAGCCACAATGCTATGCTTTAACTGATCTGCTGTTCTGACTTCAGGCCCAAATTTCTGATTCTGTGACCCTGCCCTGATTTCAGTTTCTGGTTTCTGCCTTGAACCTGAGACTCCATCTCTCCAGTTATCAAGTTTTGCCACTGTCCACACTCCCGGCAGGATTGTCTAACATATCCCCCTACTCTGGCATCAGCCAGGAAAAGGCAGCTTTTGTCCTTGAGCCAGCACAAGGTATGACAGAAGTGGTTTCAAAAATGTCAGTCACCTGGTCAACAAATATTTGTTCAAATTGGAAATAGAATCCAGAGGAAGGATTTCAGAAAACTAAAGAAAACATGAACTTTCTTCACCTTGAATATAGAGATTGGAAAACCTAGGAGGTAACTGGACACAGACAGAAGCAATATCATTTTCCTTCTGGGTTTCATAGATATGGGAAATGGACTTGTAAGCTATAGAAAAAAATTAATCTTTTTATGAATGAAATTATTTCTTTACATGCCTTTCTTATAACTTCTGGGGTACTCCCCCCACCTTGTTTAACTCTCTGCTTTAGCCTACTCAGCTATGCAGAAGAGTATCAAAAGAAAAGGTTTTTACTCAAGTCAGTATCACCCTAAAGCCAACATGGTACAAGACAGCACTAATCCCAGTCACAAATATAAAGGGAAAGGAAAACACAGGATAGATTTGCTTTCTCTTAGTCATTGATCCATCACTTAGAAATACACCTTTCAGTGAAAATCCTGGAGTTCCAGTTACTGTATTAACAAATGTGGCCTTTAGGTAATGTTTTCTCTTGTAATTCTCACAGGCCATTCTTTTGCTACGAGGAAAGCCCACTTTGTCACTGAAGAAAGATAATTCATTACTGAAATAATTTCCAAAGCATACAGATATTAAAAGCATCTTGTAGCTATAAGGGGCAAATAGAATCTGACATTTTGTCTGATCATTTCAGAGTAAATTGTACATCAAAAGACACCGTGTCTAAACTTCATTTTTATCTACTCTCCACCCTTAGACTTTCCATACCATGTTCTTTGAAAATATTTAATGTCAAGGATCTTTGAGTTCACATCCACACACCCTCAGTACCCAGTAGGTAGCTTACTAAACTACAGCTTTAATCTTTAAAAAATAAAAAGAAACGCCTTTTTCTATTTTTGTTCTTCTGTTAGCTGAAGACAGATGGGAATAAATGAGATTTCCACAGGCATTCCTGTAAGCATGATTAATTTTATTAGCCAGATTCCTTGGATCTGGAAAAGTTGAAATAAGGGAATGGAAACTTGGTTGCAGTAGGACCTGACTGAAGACGAAATAGACCCTTAAAAGAAATACTGACCCTGGTTTTCATAAAATGACAGTAGATTAAATAAAGATGGCATCACATCATTCTAAAGCAGTCTCCCCCTTTGATACACCTAATTTAGCCTTTCTCATCCTCTGGAAATAATCACCAGTGCTCTAGTTACATGTGTAAATACTTATGCACACTAAAACCTCAAATCATTTTTATTATTTAATCCACTCATTTTAACTACCACTGTGTAGGCTATGTAGCTGCCTTCTTGGTAATGATTAATAGATTCCT